AAGAATCTCCCCTCCTCCAAATCAATTCCTCTTAAAACGCTATTCACAATGTCGGACGACGGTCAGGAACTTGTTACCAAGCCTTTCAAGTTCGTCACTGGTATGTTCCATGTTTGCTTCCCTGATAATCCCGCTGCTGGTACTGCCGATGCGGGCTCGAAAAAATGACCTGATTTGGCTCCGAGGCTAACACTTCTATGTAGCTGGTAAGCCCGAATCCCTCGACCACCACCATCACCACCGATTTCTTCTCGACGACAGACTGCGATTACGCGACCCCGGCGACGATACTCAATGGCAATTGCATCAATTAGCACGATTCGATCTAACACTTCATAGGCACTGACGCTCGTTTCCCCAACCAGAACCAGACCAAGCACTGCTGGCAAAACTACGTCGATTACCACAAGTGCATTCTCGCCAAGGGTGAGGACTTTGCGCCTTGCCGCCAGGTACGAGTTGCCGAGCATTACTTCCACCGGCGATGTCCACGGCTAATTGAGGTCTAGTTCTGGCTGTCTTACCGATCTCTCTGCCCCTCCGGCTGGTATCAGCGCTGGGATGAGCAGCGCGGTAAGTTGAACCCCAGTGGTTCCAATCGATCTCGAACTAAGACTAACGCATTGCGCAGAGGCTGGAAACTTCCCCGTCAAGCTCGACGCTTAAGCCGACCCTGTAGATCGGATGGATTAGTGGATGTTAGAAGAGTCAGAGCAGACACACTGCAATTGTATCATTTGTGATATCGCTTTCAAAGCTAACCCAAATATTGACTGTTGTGTTTTAAATCCTGGCTTTCCGCATTGTGATGACGCCTCGAGTCTTGAGTGGTAGATTGTCGAATGAGATTATTGATATCATTTTAGCTATATGAGGCTCATGCAAAAGCGCTGGCAATTCAAATTCCTAAATAATACTCCATGGTCGCATGCTCGGTAATCCAAAACATGGCTGATGAGATTGGTTAATAAGAGTCGTAATGGCCAATCCCCAATTTGGTGATCATGTTGATGGAACCCATCATTTTCCCTCATCCTCATCATCTGAACTCATAAATTCATCGTCCTCGTCGAATCCAAAGAACGTCGTAGCTTTGCCTTTGCCCTTGTCGGCTTTGGCTCCCTCGGCGGGGGGCGGCGTTGACTGCTCGGATGATGTACCCTTGTCCTCGTCTGAACTGGATTGGTCGTTGCTTGGCTGTGTAGAGCTTGAGTCGTGAGATGTGCCAAGCAAGTTGTCTTTGTAGTTACCGGCCTTCATGGCAGCCAGAACAGCCTCTCGTGTTCGCTCGCTGCTCTCTTCCTTGTCCTCGACCCACTGACCGTCAAGGCGACTCTTACTGCCCGACTTAATCTCAGCTTCTTTCTGCTCGGACATTTGAACGATCTGTTCCCAACGCTCACGGCGCTTCTCTTTCTCCTTCTTTTCCATCTCGGGCTTGATAGCTAGATACTCAGCCAAAGCCTTAGCCTCATTTACAGTACGCAGACGTCGCCCATCCAGGTTTCGGCTAGATCCGTGGTCCTCTTGGCTCTTCTTTTTGCGCGAAGACATGCGACCACCCGCGGCTCGAAGTTGAGATCCGAAACCACCCTTGCCACCACAAAGGGGGACCGCGAGTCGCAAGGAAAGGAATTCATCGTCGGCAGCGGTGAGATAGCTGGAGATGGGAGCGTTTGATGAGGCTGGAAGTTGCTTGTTGGATAGTGTGGTGAGGATGAGTCTTGACTGAGTCGTCGGGAGTCGATCATCTATGCGTTCGCGCAGTTCTGTAACTGTTGTCGATGATGCCAGCGGAAGAACGAGGGTCGGTGGTAGTCCTAGACCAGCGAAGCTAGTGACCAGCACGTTCACGTTTCGGGGGGACATGGTATGGTATAGTATGGGGTGTATTCGTTTCGAAAGAAAGTGGAGGCCGTTGTGATGAATGATTGAGAAGGCCTGTCGCAAAGATTCGACGTCGCTTTGGCTGTTTGTCATGCAATGGAATGGCTTGCACCTTGCAGATAAGCGGGGCCTCTCATCAACTGCCCGACTGCCCGACTGCCACACCTACAAGCACCAGCCACATCGCAGTCGTCCTCATCACGTGAAACCAGCCTCAGATCAACCACGTCTCCACCCCACTTCGCTACCCAAATTCTAGTAGGGTTTCCGCCCACAAAAGTTATCATTTTGAGAAGTCGTCTTCGTCCCTCCTAAACTGCCACCTTCCAACATCGACCCTTCCGACGAGCAGCAAATACCGCCACGATGTTGATCCCCAAGGCCGACCGCAAGAAGATCCACGAGGTAATAACCACCACATTCACCAAGCTGCTCTGCGCAACGACGACGGCGGAGAATCGCGAGCTACGGAAGAGAGCACAAAATCATAGCGCACATAACTAACAGTTTCCCGGCAGTACCTCTTCCGCGAGGGTGTTCTCGTCGCCCAGAAGGACTTCAACCTTCCCAAGCACCCTGATATCGACACCAAGAACCTTTTCGTTATCAAGGCTCTGCAGTCGCTCAACTCTCGCGGCTATGTCAAGACCCAGTTCTCTTGGCAATACTACTACTACACCCTGACCCCCGAGGGTCTCGACTACCTCCGCGAATGGCTTCACCTCCCCGCTGAGATCGTTCCCGCTACCCACATTAAGCAACAACGATCGCACGCTCCTCCCCGTGGCATGCTCGGTGAGGGTGAGCGCGAGCGACGACCTTTCGGCCGTGGCCGTGGTGGTGACCGAGGTGACCGTGAGGGTGGATACCGACGAAGGGATGCTGGCGAGGGCAAGGAGGGTGGTGCTCCCGGCGAGTTCGCTCCTCAGTTGTGAGTTGGCCTTTGAGAAGTTGATGGACACGGGACGAACTGCTAACAATTGATACAGCCGTGGTGGTTTTGGCCGTGGACGTGGTGCTGCTCCCCCTTCTTAAACGAACCCATTTCCTTTGGGTGGTCACGAATGAGATGCATTTCGAAGGGTATCGGCATGTACTCATAAAAAATGGAGGGCAATTTCTACCATGGGTTTCGCTCGTGTGACTGGGTTGCGTTGCGTGGGGGACACCGTGGGAGTTTGAGGGTTTTAGAACCTCGGAATCATTTTCATCAGGGTCAATGTTTGCCGCCGTCGAAACGAGATAATTGCTCGGGAGATTCGTGAAGACGTCAATCTTTTCAGTGATGTGAGACGAGACCTCTATGTTTATGCCAAACGCCCACCGAGGCACGTCTAAATGAAGGATCCGTGCCGCTAATCCGAACTCCTACTATGCCGTGTGATGATTGTGATCCTGTGGCTATTTGAATTTGTGATCTAGCTTAATGGTTTGGAAGAATTCCCTCGAATGGGCCATACTCAATGCTTGACTGACGATCTCATGTCTGACCTACCAACAGCGCACCATACTAGGCCTGGAATTGTTCTGGGAGGAAAAACTGAACATGTCATTCAGATATGAGATAAATCAATGGGTAAATCATTGGATACGTCAGTGATGCTAAATTAATTACTGGCGGGCTAAGCCAACTATCTCAATGCCAACATGTGACAGAATCATACTGAGATCATGTAGTGGGATCTTGGTCTCTGATCACAAAGATTTGTCAATATACCTATCTACCTATTGGGTAGCTTGTAAGGTCTATATATCAAGGCAAGCCTTTGATTCGTGAGGTATCTGATAGAAGGTAATTGTACTGATCTGAACATGTGCTTCTTGCCTGGTGCGTTTAGTTGTTATTGTTACTGGCTAACGTATTTGCTCTGTCTGGGGTAATAAGGGGCCAAGATGGTCAGGCTAAGCTACTCGATGTAATGAATGAGAATCACTCAGTGGTAAGTTCATTGCTGAAAGACATACTTTTTCATTACCCAGAAGCGTTGGTTGTCAGTGACTTCTGTTACAGCCCTGATACATGCCACATCGGCGGAGAGTAAGAAGACATGCGTGGATTCAATGTAGAATTTGAGTACTTGAATGAAACAGAGTATGTTGCCCGCCATTCGGATTCTCTTCAGACGTAACACTCTTGATATGCATCCCATGAGTTATAGAATGCTGAACGACCAAGCGCTTAACATTGGTCGAAATAAAAACAGTGGCCAGGCGATTTAACAAGCAAAGATATAGGTAAGTAGTTAATATTAGAGATTGTGAGCTCAAGTCCACCCACACCATGTTACCATGTTTATCTTGCTCAAATACTTTGACTTAGGTATACGTGTTGCTAACTTTCGGATACTCTTTTTAATAAGACTTCTGGATAAATCTAGACATATCTGATACCTTGTCTGAAGAAGATGGCTTCTGCCTATTTTAACCTAGATGTGTTATGGTCAGCAACAGACACAGCAGGTGTATAACTGATCATAACTCTAAGCTGACAGGAAACTGGGTCTAGGCATTGCCATTCGGTGAAGAATAAACCAAGAACTAAATAATGTTTTCTAATTGGTCTTACGTCAGCAATGAATTGGTGTTTATATCTATGCGCCTTGCTCCTCAGCATTTAGCATGAGTTTATGGATGGGGACGGGCACACAGTCAGATATCTGCATGCAGGTAATCATAGTTCGAACGGAATTCAAGATGGTCTTGACATTCTATCTCGATTATATATGAGACGGCCTTGATTTGTACATGTTCGAATCTTTATCGAACAGTGCTTACATCTGCCATACGCTTGTAGCTGACGCATAGACATGCAATGAACTCCCAAGCTTCAACCCCGTCGCTTCAATTCCCATGATTCTTTCCCTTCTATTGCTTTTCATATTCGTTTGTAGTTAACTTTACATCGATTCTGAAGTTTACCAGTCAAATAATCTCAAAAGCGTTGCCCGCAGCAAACCGCCCCCTTGAGGAGCAAGAAAACATCGGACCTTGATATAGGGTGCCAAAATAAACTCAGCAAAAGGTATCCTAAGCCTATGCTAAGTTACCTCAGTGCTTCTGTCATTTAGGATCAAGGTCCTGAGTCTTCTTTCCTAGATACCCCAGCGCCCGTCATGATTATCTCCGGCTCTCCTCTCTTCAAACAGTATGCCCGGACGGCCCTTGATTCTGAAAACCGTAACAGAAGGCCACCTTATACAACCTTAGGCATTGCGGATATTATTGTACAGCATCTGCTGGATCTTGCAAAGCTTCAAGTCACTCGATTCAAGATCAGCAATGCTACTGAAGAGTAAGCGTAACGCCCTCCATTTATGCTATGGCTTGCTGATGCCAATGCTTTAGCTCCTTCGATCTTTTTGTTGAGGGTCGCATATTTGGGACAGGGACGATCTCTAGCACTATCATATCAACGGAGGCATCATTATCATTCAACGGGACCGTATTTGGACGGATCAAGTTACCCCAAATCCAAACGAGTGTCTGGGGGACAGGCTTTGTTGCCCAGGAACAGCGCATCGAGATCACCGACTATACCAACTACTGTGCCTTTATTCGGAGCATCATAGTCGACAATGAAACCAGTCTTCAACTCTACAACCGTAACTGCACAGTCAGAGCACTTGGTACTTCGTCTATATGCAACCTTCGTCTCGATATGCCACTCAAGGCGATTGGAGGGCCTAGAATGGCAGTCAAGAAGCTTTCGCGTTTGGGTTGTGATGTGACAATCGTATTCAGCTTGAGTTGCTCGGACCCTGTCGAACTTGACCATGGATGTTGTATTTTCGAGCTTCGAAACGGCCATAATGAAACATTGGCAGAGCTGAAAGGTGAACTCAACATTGCCGGGAGCCAGACTGAACTCACTCTGCATGGGACAACACGAGATGGGGCGATAGTCTCAAAGAGAGTCAGGCTTGTTGGAGTTGGTGTGGAAGCGAAAGAGAGGTCATGGCTCAATGAGACCATAAGAGAGCTTGATGTCCCTGTTGACTTGGAACCGAAATGCGTGGAGATATTATGGTGCTGATACACGCTTCGTACCTTGGTGATATGGGTTCGAGATTGGGTTTCTTGTATATAGATATGACCTAGTTCCGGATATTGTGTTGGTTTCTATTGGAATAGAGTCGGATTTCCAGTTTCAGGGTTGGCGATTGATTAACCAACATTGGTAATTATCTCCAATACCTCTTCAAGATGACTGAGCTTTGTCAACAATTTGGTACCTTGTAGGCTAAGATGACCTTTTCTTTGTAATTCTCGTACAAGATAAGAGCCCCTTGTCAAGTGTAAGCCCACAATGTCGATTGTGTCCTGCATATAAATGCTCCACTACCATTCACTCTAGCACTTCGATCCCAAATGACAAAAAGACTTGGGTAACCTCGTATAAGTTTAGGTAAAGCTCAAGGTAGTATATCTTTTGCTGAGCTTATTTTAATACCTTATATCAAGTCTGATGTTTTCTTGCTCCCTGAGGTCACTTTAGCAGCCTTGTTGGTGATGCTTCCATAACTAAGAGCCGGCTTCGGCCGCCGGCGTCTACGGACACCACCAAAGACATGGATTCGTTTGCGGGGACCCAGCTGGAGACAGTGGAATGAACTGAACGGCGCGTTTCGGTATATCTCTTTTGGATCCCCAGACACTGCCATATTTCTGTAGTTAAGAATTCTATTAATAAAAAAAGAAGAAGAAGAAAAAAATCGTAGTAACTTAGTTACATTTGCAACGCAGTCAAACTTGGGTTGCTGCAGCGGTCAAAAGGCACGAAATAGATGGGAGCATCCAATTTATTAAACCCATATGCGGTCACTAGCTGCACGATCATTGGACCGGGTTAAGGAAGCCAACCACTAACATAATACGAGGTCTTAAAAAAGATACAGTACGTACACTCACCTGTCAATCCTGGACCTACTATAGGTAAAAAGGCAGGATACTCACGTTTCCCATTGCGGTGAAAGAGGACCTGATAAACACCTGGATCATATCGTCCTCTCCATTCCTCACTGGCCGCCAGGAACTCCAGCTTTGCTTGGAAGCCCTGGTAATGCCCGTATCCGTCAAGCCTCTCGTCAACCCCTGCTTCTCGGCGTTTACACGCGATATTCAATTGGAGTTCAAAGCCCAAAATTTCCGGGTATCGCGGAGACGTCTGAGAGACAAGGGGAATTGTAAGGCTCTGTGATGAATCCGTCAGGACAAAATGGGCCAAGATGATCAGGAACTCAACAGTCGGCGGCCGCACGTTGCATGCGATTTATTATTACAGTCGTTGGGTTTCATAGACCAAACAAGGTACTGGATCCAATCCTAATATTGGATCTTTACTCATCAACATTGAATGCCTATACGTACAAACCGGGCTTGTTTCACCAACCACAGCCACGGCTTGAGCTGCACCCATCCATCACTCATCGTTCATTGCTTTGTTTCCGCAGACTCGTTGACCAAATTTCACTCTTCTTCCTCACACCATTGAGAGACTAGGTGCCAAAGGACAAAGCATGGGTTTGTTTGGCTGACTTCGCCGAGCTGAACTGGGCTTGTCTGCTGCTGGCGTCAACTCCCATTCGGAACATGCTGACTTTGGATCATGTTCATCATGCTTGACTAACAAAAGACGTTTAAAACTCCGAATCACCATCTTTCCTTCCTCCAAACAAGTATCCAAAAGTTGCAGAATATTACCTATCTCGACAAGCGTCTCGTGACTTGCACGAGATCGCCTCCCTGAATCCTTAGTAACTTCCCTAGAAATGGCTCCCTGGCCGAGTCGTCGTGGGTCGCAACCCAACAACAACTCCAACTCCAACGGTGACCTCATCAGTCGAATTCACAATACGGCCTTACACACGCCTACCACATTGCCCGCGCTTTACTCGACGAATCTGCCGAATACATCGAACGGGAATCGCCTCGAGTTGTCCTTCTCCAATGCCAACGCCGATTCCAGCTCCGACGAGTCTGATTTGCATCCCTCGCGGCCTCAATCTTCCAAACCTCGTCGACCACAGCACACGCGCTCTATGAGCCAGCCTTTTCCTTCCCTCTTCAGCAGCAAGAAAAAGAGGCAGAACTCAGTCGGCGCACCACCGCCTGACCTGGGTTTTGCAGACGATGACTCGGCAATGCCTCGGCAAGCACCGAAGACACAAGCTCGAAACCCTTCTCATACTCGAAACGGCCCTGTAGGAAGTAAGGATTTTACGACGGGCAACTGCATGACATGTGGTTCGTTAGTACGATGGCCGCGGGAGCTCAAGGTGTTCAAATGCACGATCTGTACTACAGTCAACGATTTGGAGCCTCTGAGTGCAGATCATGATGGTTCGAAGTCGCGTAGAGATGCAAGCCAGGACCACTCCCGGTCTGCCACAACTCGAGGTAGGAACAAAGGCAAGAGAAAGAGGACAATCACTAATTTGGGTGCAGGTCCGCATATCTCGATCGAACAGACAAACCGACTGGTTCAACAATCGATACAATCCTTCCTTTCTAAGAAGTTGCATCCAATTCCTGAACCTCCCACCGAGGCGCCGCCACAACCGCCGTCGAAATTGTCATTTAGCAGCCGATTACAGGCTGCTGGCCAAAGCCTTGATTTCGAGCAGGACGCAGCTTCTTCATCCAAGTCCCCTGCTATACAAGTTTCTCATTACGCCTTCGATGAGGAACCGACCCTACGGTCGAGTCCCGCCCGGCCGAACCCTACGCCAATGCGATCCTTCTCTTCTTCTTACACCGAAAGACCTCCAGTACGTAAGATATTGCGAGAAGGCGGGTCAAAAGAGCAACGCAGATTGCCTGATCAATCTGATGGTGACCCGAAAAGGATATTCAAGGCTTTGGAAGACTATATCGTAGCCTGCTTTGGCTCATTCGAATGCATTAACTCATCATTCCTAACACATACCCACCGCCAGCCCATTAGATGTAGAAGCGAATCGACCCGCCACAAGCCAATGCTACCTAGTGAGCCTCGTGAACAGAGAGGGCATCGTCGCGAGCCTTCAGGAAACCATGCGGCGCGTGAGCTACGAGAGGAGCGGTTTACACCGCAATTCGATGATGGATCATGCGACCTCGATCCAAAGTTACTACTTTTAGGTGACTTTGCTGAGAATGGGACATGGTGGATGGGCAACCAAGAAGACTCTCGGCCTCGACGGCCGTCGACGAACCGTGTGGAACGGAGTTTCTCAAGCGCGCCAGTCAACACGAAGACACCGCAAATGAACTGGGGCGATCTCATCAAATGGTACATCACTATTGTGAATCCCGCTGAGGGATGGTTTGCGATTTACGAGGAGATGTGTCAAGGAAAGGCCTTCTTAACCCCTTCTCAACGAGAATTGCAATTAATGGAGCGGGAACTACTGCAGGGTCAAGAACATGCTCGGCGAGTTCTTCTTAAAGCAACCGAAATGCTTCTAAAGAGACCTGGAAGGCCATTGAAGGATCCAGCAGACTTGAGGTTTCTCCTTATCATCTTAGAAAACCCATTACTTCACGAACAGGAAACACTGTTTCGGGGAATTCTGCAATTCGACAAAGGCTTGCCTGCTGGCCCATGGTCAATACAGCAGAGAAAAGCCGGCACCCCTGAATCCGGACCTTTATCCGGGCAACACTCCGGCATCATCAAGCGCATAGTGGGCTTAGTATCAAACTCGTCGGCTGAATGCCATGACCAGTTGATAACCTGGTTTTCAAGACATCACCCTTCTCGCTTCATTCGTACCAAAGAGTTGGCATCTGGTTTCTTAACATATCGGATGATTCGGCAGAGTGGAAAGAAGCAAGAGGTGAAAGTTGACATCACGGCTGGCCTGATACCACAAATGCAAGAAGGGCGCTCAGGAGCTTACCTCTACGATGAGATAAACCGCGCAAACTCGTCGAAGAAGGCCAAGGAGCCTGAAAAGACAATCATGTATGCCGAAGATTGGCAGATTAGAGCTTCTTCGCGGGTCTTGGCGCTCCTTTTCGCTGCGAATAACTTGCCACACAGCCGGAGAAATGAAGAATCCCCGTCGGGCTCGGCCGAGGGTCGTTCTAGTGTTCATTCTCACGGACAAATCCTACCAACGAGCGACTTCTACAATTCAATGATCGACTACACTGACTTAGTTGCGGACTTTGAGAATTGGGAGGCTCGTAGGAGCAAGTTCACGTTCTGCCAGTACCCGTTCCTTTTAAGCATATGGGCCAAGAACCATATTCTTGAGCACGATGCTCGTCGCCAGATGCAGAGTAAAGCCCGTGACGCCTTTTTCGATAGTATCATGAGTCGCAAGGCTATCAACCAGTTCCTCGAATTAAATGTTCGCCGAGATTGTCTGGTAGATGACAGTCTAAAAGCTGTCAGCGAGGTGATTGGAAGTGGGAGCGAGGATATCAAAAAGGGTCTTCGTATTACCTTTAGTGGTGAGGAGGGAGTAGATGCTGGTGGTCTACGGAAAGAGTGGTTTTTACTTCTGGCCAGAGAAGTTTTCAACCCCGACCATGGTAAGCTGAATTGCCCAACAGAAACAGGGGCCCTGCTGACTCTGGATAGGACTTTTCCTTTATGACGAGGATTCTCAGTTCTGCTATTTCAATCCGAACGCTTTTGAAACCTCCGATCAGTTCTTCTTGGTCGGAGTCGTGATGGGACTTGCTATATACAACTCGACTATTCTGGATGTGGCCCTGCCCCCTTTTGCATTTCGAAAACTCATTGCATCGGCTCCAACACACGGTACAGGAGCATCAGCTCATCCAAAACCCCCTATGCGTTATAACCTGGAAGACCTGGCAGAATACCGGCCTCGACTAGCTCGAGGATTACGACAGTTGCTAGAATATGAAGGCAATGTGGAAGAAACCTTCTGTCTCGATTTCGCTATTGATGTGGATAAATATGGTACTCAGGTGCAGGTTCCCCTTTGCCCTGGAGGCGAACGCATCCCTGTCACTAACAGCAACCGTCGAGAATACGTGGACCTTTACGTGCGGCACATAATCGATGTGTCTGTGACGAGACAGTTCGAACCCTTCAAACGAGGATTCTACACTGTATGCGGAGGTAATGCTCTGTCTCTCTTTAGGCCAGAAGAGATTGAACTCCTTGTACGAGGCTCTGACGAAGCACTTGACATCAACTCGCTAAGGGGGGTCGCTGAATACGATAACTGGGGAACCAAAAGGCCAGATGGTTCCGAACCCGTCATTGACTGGTTCTGGGAGACATTTCAGGCGGCAACATCTCAAGATCAACGGAAACTACTGCTGTTCATCACTGGTAGCGATCGAATTCCTGCTATGGGTGCTGCTGTACTGCCGATTAAGATATCCTGCCTTGGTGAGGATGAAGGCAGGTTCCCTATTGCTCGAACGTGCTTCAACATGCTATCTCTGTCACGATACAAGTCAAAAGAAAGGTTAGAGAAGTTGCTGTGGACTGCTGTTCATGAAAGCGAGGGCTTTGGGATAAAGTAAAACGGTACAGTTGATGAACTTACGAATAAGCATTCATTTCATTTACGGAGTTTTGATAGGTAGTTCAAGGGTTTTTTTCTTGGGAGTGTAGATCTATATACAGGGCCTGTCAAGGTGCAATTAGAAACTGAATTTGTCTTGTCTACAAGAGATTCTATGGGAGAATCGCAGTTCTTCAAAATTGAAATGTACGTTGTACGTGTGCGGTAGCCCAACAATACATTCATTGACCAGCGTAGGAGTTCAAGCAGAAGGTGGTGGGACTTTCTAAATTTCCAACTTGTACACTTGCCAGATATGTGGCATTCGTTAATACACATTTATTGTACAGCATCGTTATGGGTCTCTTTCATTCCAAGCCTTTTTACGAATCCTCTTCCTCAGCAACACCGCCAGCAGCCCGGGCTCGCTTCAGCATATCCTCCTCACGTTTCTTCTCCTCACGTAAGCTCCTCATACGTGCTCGGTCAACCTCGGCTTGTCTGGCCATGGCGTCCAACTCCTGCAATTCACGGATCTCCTCCTTGGTGGGTTTGATGGGGACAGCACGGGTCTCGGCCAGTACGTATTCAAGAATGTGAGAGGAGTGTTTCTCGGTCATATCGACAGTAATAATCTTCTCATCAGCGTCCGGTGGTGTGGCCTTGGACATGTTATTGCGTGATGAGGAGGGCTGGGAACGAGTAGCGGGTGCGGGAGTTGAAGTGTCGGGTTTGCGGAGATAGATAGAGATTGTAGGCTTCTTGTTGTTCCGACTGTGACGATTGACGATCATAGGAACTGAGGGATTATGGTATTTTAGTCGGGGGAGGTTCTCACGCCAGAACTTTCTGTTTTTGGTGTATTAGTTCATGTGCCAGAGACCTTGATATATGGACTAACTTGGCGCCCATATGGCCGTTCTTGAAGCTCGTTGCAAAGTCCATATGTATTCTGGTCACCTCTGGGGGAAGGATTGCTGCGCCCGGGCCGCATCTTAAGGAAATGATCTGATTCAGTCGTGAGCAATGGATCGCGGATCGTCGTTTGTGGGAGAGATATCTACCTTCTATGTTAATTGTCAGCCACATCCTTAAGACACGAACCCCGGGAATTGACTTACGGCGCGAAGCTTGTTGAAACGTTCACCGAGAGACCTCATCTTGGACTGCGCAAACCTTTAAACTACAAAGGTCGCAAGCGTCTCTTCAGAATCGAACCAGTTCCGTGGTCGCAATGCTTCAAAAAGTCGACGGCTCTAGGCCCAGAAAATCGTAGACCCCTGCCCAAAGGGTAACGCACGCTGTGCTCGAGGCTGCGGGCCGAGCGTTGACCCGAACTGGCTGGTGGGGTTCATAATGGATGCCGCTTAGTGGAGGCTAACAAAGCTACGATTTCCTAGGAAATTTTTGGGATAGGTAATCTGTGTAAGTCCAACATTTTTAGTTGCGACAACCCGAATTCGTTTCTCCACCATAGAAACAACGCAATGCATCGCGCATTGTCAGCTCGATGGATAAACCGGGCTCTTAGTATCGGTGAAGCGTCTGCTTCGTCGAGTGTTCCTTTATTCTTATGTCCGGCCGTTGGAGCTTCGAGTCGATTTCACAGAACACGGAAAGCCACGCCTTTACCAACTCCGATCTATACTCGACGACTTAATCATACCGAAACGATAGTCCAAGATGTACCAATCACGACAAGCGAAAGCTCATCTCTGGGCCTTGAGACTCCTAAGAGGCGCTTACCATTGAACTGCACAGGATGCGGTGCCTTTACGCAGACGAGCGATCCGCAAATGCTGGGCTATTTCGACCCTGAGAGCAAAAGAGTAAAGAAGTGGTTGAACCCAAAGGCTTTTGAGCGTCAGCATACAGCGAGCCAGGAAGATGGAGTTGTCGATGACGCTCTCAGATCCTTAGACCCTGCCCAGCTGGAAGCTCTTGGCCTGGATCCCTCTCTCTTGGTAACTGGAGCTGAGAAGGGGGGGGATATTGCTCCGAGTACGCCTCCAACTCTCTTACTACAAACCATGCAGAAGCTAACGAATTAAAAGAACCACTCTCCCGAGATAAACAGCCTGTATGTGATCGATGCCACAATTTACAACATTATAGCACCTCGAGCGACACAGCAAAGGTTGCTATGTTCCATCCCACCGTTGAGTCCTTGCGCGAAACCATCGAGGAATCGCCGCACAAGTACAATCACATATACCATGTCATAGATGCTGCCGATTTCCCCATGTCGCTCATCCCTCGACTTAATGTTCTCCTCGGCGACATTCCCATCAGGACGCGCAATCGAAGATCACGAGCGGGCAAGTACCAGAATGATCGCAAGACAGAACTGAGTTTTATCATTACTCGCGGCGATCTTCTTGGTCCTACGAAAGAGATTGTGGACTCAATGATGCCCTACCTTCGTGAGGTACTACGAGATGCTCTCGGCCGACTTGGAGGTAGGGTTCGTCTTGGCAATGTCCGATGCGTTAGCGCAAAGCGTTCTTGGTGGTGCACGGAGGTTAGAGAAGATATCTGGCAGCGCGGCGGTGCCGGGTGGATGGTTGGAAAGGTCAACGTGGGCAAAAGTCAGCTCTTTGAGGCTGTCTATCCCAAAGGCAGAATGGGGCCAAGCAAGGAAGCCGGGAGGGCATCAGTATCGACATATCCTCGGGATAGCGTCAGTGCGGAATCGATATATGCCGAACAAGTTGGAGAGCAAGACGTTGATGTTGGGGAACTGCTTCCGCCCCCTCAGCCGGCTCAGAACTATCCTGATATGCCTCTGGTGTCCTCACTCCCTGGCACAACAGCATCCCCAATTCGAGTACCTTTTGGAAACGGAAAGGGCGAATTAATCGACCTTCCTGGCTTGGCACGAAGCGACCTTGACTTGTTTGTGAAGGAGGAGTGCCGTCAGTCGATGATTATGAAGAAGCGCATCGTACCTGAACAGATTTCAATGACGCCTGGCAAGTCCCTCATACTAGGAGGAGGTCTCATTCGCATCACACCAAAGAACCCGGGCTTGGTTTTTCTGGCATACAACTTTACGCCTCTGGAGGAGCACCTCACTCAGACTGAGAAGGCCATTGCTTTTCAGGAGCAGACACGGGAATCCATCGGTGTACCAAGTATCATGCTTCCCGGAATTGGAGGCAAGATGAAGCATGCTGGAACATTTAAGCTGTCTCACGACGTCACCAGACAAAGAGCTGGCCCTCTTACACGGAAGAACGCGATTGGGTTAAATGTCGACAGGCTTCCTTTCCGAGTGTTGTCGACAGACATCCTCATCGAGGGTGTGGGCTATGTTGAGCTTGTTGCACAAGTCCGCGCACAGGATGTCGCTATGAAGGTATTTCCAGACCAACAGCCCCGATTCGAGCAAAGGGCCAAGCCGAAGCAGCTCGACACGTCTGATCCTTTTGCAGCCATGAGGGCTCTGCGAATAGATGCAGGAACTCCGGTGGTAAAGAGGCGTAAGGAGCCTGAGCCTGAGCCTGAGCCTGCGATAGAACCTGGCTGGCCAGCAGTTGATGTCTTCAGTCCTGAGGGGCGATTCATTGGCTCTCGTCAACCAATCCAAGGTTGGTTGCATAACAAGCCTCGTGTATTGCCAGAGCACAAGAGGAGTCGACCGCGAAGAAGTATGAAGGGTGCTAAGAAGAAAGACAAAGCCGAGAAGAGAGCTGCGATCAACTGAGCTCTATCATGGTTGGATTCTGTACGATTTAAGGCTGTATGATGAATGAGTAGACGATGATGGTGGCATTACCATGTCAATTGTATATCACCCCAACTATAGATTATATCTCAGAATTATGTATTATAGAACTGCAGGAGAACTATGAGACTTAGCAAAAAGAATTCATCCTGACTGATTTGCTCGACAGTTTAACATGGGTGGACGATCATCTTGTGTGGTAGTTGTAGTGTCAAAGTTGTACTCTAGCATTGAAAAATAACAGTATTCCTTTTACCAGCAGTTCTTTCATAACCATTGGATCGAAAAGAAGATTCCTTAAAAGAACGTGGATAGGTAATTAAGTTGTTTTTAATACAGCACAGGTAGAGAATTGTGAATGGGAGCTCGCATCCAATGATTGGCTAATAAATCCGGCAAGTCGTGGCGTGAAAAGAGGTACGTATCTTATCATTACAACTGAATGTTGATACTACTACTACCTACTAAGGTAAGGCAAATCATTTATTTGCCATACGATTCCATCAACAAGCGCGTGACAACATTATTAACAAGACAACACCACATCCTCCGGGAGAGATAACTTTCTCCCCGAAAAACCTGTCAAAGGAAACAAACAGTCGCTCGTGCTATAGCTACATCGAATATCACATCACCTCGAGACGGTCATGTCGCAACGGCAACAGCAACGAAGCGCACCAGCGCCCTCACAAACACAAACCGAAACCCCGGCGCAAACACCAGAAACAAGAGAACAAGCGCCTCAGATCCTGAGACTTCGAGGCGCTCATGCGTCCAATGGGCGATCCGTACAGTGGGCAGAGGACGTAGTTGATAATGAAGGTCTTGGACGTAAGAGCTCAAAAGGTGGGCAACATGATCCTATACGAGCATACGCCCACATACTAACACATATTTCAATAGTGTGTTGTATCTACCATAAGCCGAAAGCCGTCGACGAGTCCAGCGATGAGTCTTCGTCCGACTCAGACTCAGATTCAGACTCGGGCTCTGACCGCGATGGAGCACAACCAGCGGGCGGGAAGCGCCAAAGCTGTGGGCATGAACACGGGCACAGTCATGGACGTGGGCGGAGAAATGGAAAGGGAAAGGAGAAGAGGGCGCCGAGTCCGAATGCGTACGAGAAGGTCCCCAAGCCAAAGCCCAAGGATGGACCGTCGGAAAACAAGTCATAGAACAACGAGGACGCCGGACCGTCGAAGAAAAAGGGCAATGCGAAATGAGCGTTAATTATGATGATATGAGCACAGGGACTGGTGGGCTGGGGCATATGTATGTGAAGACTATTAGTGGCATAGCGATATCTGGGCAAGGATCAAGCGAACATGATTGCAGAATCGTATGGTTTAGAATCTTCCATTTGGGGATTTAATTTATAAAAGGGTATCTCATTGGGGGGGGGGGGGCACTTATACAAGGTAGCTGTCTTGCGAATCGTGTATCGCAATCACTCAGCACCCTCCACATCATTTTTCCCGCTCTCAACCACGAAATATCTTCCTGCTGTTTTGCCAGCCGTCTTGAGGGCATCCCACTTCTCTGCCTCAAACTCAACCGTCTCTCTAACCCTCCTCGCCCTTTGATAATGCCCTATGCGAACCTCCTTATCCAGAGCTTCTTGCACTTCAGCAAGTCCAATGGTCACCTCTTGTCGAGCCTCTGTGGTCTCATCACGGATCGCCCGCAGGGGTTCAACCCCGGTTGTGTCCACACGCTGCACGGCTCGGACGAACTGCAATTGGCTCTGGAGGGTGTTGATCATGGCAGCTTCGTCCTCGGGTGTAGCTGGCAACGGTAGGGCTGAGAGGCGGAGGAGGTGGTGTAATTGGGAGGGCGTGATCTTTTCTGCAGGGGCTGAACTTGGCGAGGATGGTAGAAGGCTTCTAACGGACCAGGTGGGTTTCTCGAGGATCGAGGCGGCGGCAGACGAGTTTGTCGTTATGAACCGAGTTGTCAAAAGTCTTGTAGAATGTGTGATGCTGCGCTGAAGGGCAATATGGCAGGATGTGCAGATCGTCATGATGCGTAGCTGGCCTGATCTGTCGATATGGATATAATATCTGTTGAATCTCGATCAAGGTTTTCTCTCTGCGTACCTAAGGCGATCTGTCAATAGAGTCTTGTGATGGATATATATCCAAGATAACTTTGATCCGTCTTGACCTAGATCTTCAAGGTGACAACGGGGGCCCACTAAAAAGACCCCAGCGACTAACCTAGGTACCTTACCTACTACCTACTGGTACTACCTAGCCCAGGTGTCACTCTGTGGCTTAAGCGACCGTCGTCATAGCTCAGCCGCCGTCCGCGCCGCAAGTCGAGGTACTCGCCATCTTCACTTACATTAGTACCTAGGTACAACTTAAAGCCAACTCGTGATAACCTAGAACGTGGTGTTTTTTCTCTCTCTCTTTCTGTTTCTCCTCCCAACTCTTCCTTGATACCCCTTTCACGAATATCACAATCATGGCTCAAGACCCAAGAGCTCTTCTCCAAAAGGTTTCGTAACCCCTCCCCCGCTTTGTATTGGCTGTTGCTTTGCAGTTGTGCTGACACTTCGCAACCTTCAGGCTCAGAAGCAGCTTCAGAGTGCCGGCGGCGGCTTCAGCTTCTTTGGTGGACGAGAGGAGAAGTATCAAGAGGCCGCTGATCTCTTCACTCAAGCCGCCAATGCCTTCAAGATGCAGCAACAGAGTACGCCTTTACCGCTTTGTTTCGTTGTGAACCCGAAGCTGACACTACCGACATCTAGTGCTCGAAGCCGGAAAGGCTTTTGAACAGGCCGCCCAAGTTCAAACCGACAAGCTGAAGGAACCCGATGACGCTGCCAACACCCTAGTGGATGCCTTCAAGGCCTACCGCAAAGACGACCCTCAGGCTGCTGCGCGATGCCTGAACGTCGCTGTCGATCGATACTGCGCCAAGGGTAATTTCCGCCGCGCAGCTTCCCATAAGGAAAATCTCGGCGAGCTGTATGAGGTGGAACTCGGCGATGCCAAGAGCGCTATCGAGTGCTACGAACTCGCTGCTACCTGGTATGAGGGCGATAATGCGGCAGCGTAAGTTGGATATCACAACCGCATCCGTATTTTACATCTACTTATGGATCTTAACAGTCTTGCCAACAAGCTATGGCTGAAGGTGGCCGACGTGGCTGCTATCGAGGGCGACTACTACAAGGCCATCGAGAAATACGAGAGGGTGGCTGAGCAATCAATCAACAACAACCTCATGAAGTACAGCGTCAAGGACTACTTGCTCAAGGCAGGTATCTGCCATCTGGCCAGTGGCGATCTGGTCGCTGCTCAGCGCGCCCTGGAGAAGTACCGCGATATGGATCCCTCATTTGGTGCACAGCGTGAGCATCAGCTTTTGACTGACCTCTGCGAGGCCATCGAGGCCAAGAGCCAGGAGCAGTTTACCGACAGGCTGTATCAGTTCGACCAGATCAGCAAGTTGGATAAGTGGAAGACGACGATCTTGGTGCGAGTGAAAAACCAGATTGAGGAGGAAGAGGATGAAGAGTTTGCGTAGAGGAGCTACCAAAGGAATGAAAGAAATTGACACATGAGTGACTACAGGAGGTATTGGGATATATCACAATCAGCAAATTCCAGAAAGTGCTCGGGATTTTGCTATTACATCATGGTCGAAGAGATGGGTAGTGACTTGAGATGCACTCGTGTCTCCCCATGAGGGGTGGAGTCACAGTTGCTAATGTGAGGCTTAGAGTTAACATGACTGTTGTGAATATCAAAGCAAGCTCGCCATAGACTGAGTTGGTATCTCAGTGAATCATTAACAAAGTGAGCATTCACAGCATGACACTCCACAGTCGTACATACAAAGTCATGCGCCAATCTGCTTCAGCCAGAGATGCTCGAGGAATCCTTGCTTGAGATCACATTGGATGTTCAAATCAATGACCGATACGCGGGCTAAGAGAAGCCTAGTAAAATAAACCACTGAACTCAATAAACACATGTAACAGCATATGTGTTATTATCAGACTTGCTACCTCCAAACACGTATCCTTCGTTTTCGTCATCAAACTCATTGGATTTCACTCCCAGCCCTGTCAAAGTAACAATCTAAGTCGGATTCCAACTCTGCCTATCAATGTATCGAAATAACCCTCAAGGCATATAGAGCAAAGGCATCATCTTAAGACTGCCACTTGTCAGACTGTGTAGCCTTTGTGGCGCATGTCTTGGGAACAGTGTATGTACGGTTGGGGTCCTTCTCCCAGGTGAGAGAGCCGTCCTTCTTGATGTTAATGTACTTATACTGAATAGACTGTCCTGCAGTTAGGGAAATGGTGGCCTTCCACACAGGGTTCGAGGAGGTATAGTCCGAGGCGCTCAAGGCAACAGCCTTTGATGTGTCCCAGTTACCGAGAGCAGCGATGTTGCCAACGATCTTGATGGTATCACCAAAGTTGGTGGTGACAACCTCTTCGAAAGTGACAGCTACAGAGGTTGCAATAGGGCAACTGGTGCTAGTGGACGAGCTGGAAGTGGAAGTGGAAGTCTGGGTGCCAGTTGGAGTGGGCACACCATCCTTGGGTGTTTGCGATGCCGGGAACGAAGTTGCAGTGGCCGATGAGTACGAGCCAGCGACAGTATTGGTACCGCATTGGTTGGGAACAGCAGCCACGCTGCCAGCCCAAGAAGGAGGAATAACACCAGCTCGACGATCAGCAGCTGAGAGGAAAGCGGCATATGACCAAGTCAAGTCTGTGGCAGAAAGAGGATGTCCGTCATTCTTGTCAAACTGCTCTGCGAGGTGGCCATCTGTGCCGACATACTTTGCAACGATAGCAACATACCCATCAGCATACTTGGAGACGGCGTCAGTGATGCTCTTGAAGTTGGCAGAGTCGCTGGCGTAGGTTCCGGTAGAGATGGAAGAGACGAGGTCCTTGAAGAACGAAAGGGAGACGTCCGACACGGTGATAGACCCCTGCTGCTTCCAGACATAAATGGCATCGTAGAGTTGCTCTGCCGCCGCAAGCGTAGCGAGGTACCAGGGGTTGCCATTGTAGTAGACATCTTCGACGTATCGTCCAACGGCGACAGCTGAGCCTTGAGAGATACCCTTGTTGATGTTCCATGAGCGGAAAGAGTCAGTAACCGCCTTGTGGTTGGCGAGGGCCTTGTCGCTGCATGGCTGGAAGGTGGCGGGATCGCAGTTCAGAGCAGGGTCGAAATTGTGGATGGACGACAGAATACTGTTGGCGTCCTTGCCAGTGCGGCCATCGTTGACATTGACTATAGGGGTCAGTGGTTATGATCACTGAGAGTCCAGCTAGTTTACTACTTACTGTTAGAGTCGACGTATTTGCCGGAGGATATCCAGTAAGTCTGCAAGAAGCAGAGAGCCTGGGGAGCGATGTTGGAGTAGTTGTCTCCTGACTTGCCGAGCTTCTTGGCCAGAGCGGCACCTTCAATGAGAGCTTCAAAGTGTGAGTGAGTACATCGCCTTACTGGTAAATCATCTAGCAAACTAACCTCGATACTGGGAACCAGTTGTAAAGAACGAACTGCCCTTGACCTCTTCCCACAAGTCAAATCCGGTTTGGTTCCTATGACGGTCAGAACTGGCTCCAGTTAAGGCTGCTGCATCACTGACCAATATTGAGCCACGTAGTTGAGATCGTTGCGAACAACAGGCCACACGATGTCGTTAGCTGTGGAGGTGTACCCGTTGGCAATCAGCCAGTTGGCATAGGTGATCATAGCAGTCGCACGCAGAGCTGGACCATCTCGTTGAGGTCGACCTTGACAATCTTTAGTCAACTGTTCTCATGTAGGGGCGCCAAAAAAAAAAAAAAAAAAAAAAAAAAAAAAAAAAACCATGAATACTCACCCCAGCCGCCAGTGAAGGCACTCATGTCGACGTTGAACTTGGCCTCTCCTAGACCTGAGCCATCCGAAAGCGATCCAGAAGGGTTGGAAACGCCCTGGAGCTTGGCTTGGGAGACGATATACTCTTGGATCTTCCTCTGCAAGCCAGCATCATACTGGTTGATGAACCTATCGACGACGTACTTGAAGACTAGAGCAGCATCTCGAGTCCAGGTATAAAAATCTAGCGTATGTTAGGAAGCGTCTTTTGCTCAGGTTGGCTATGTCATCGACTTACAGTCAGGATCCTGTGTGTCTGGAGAGGCAATGACAATACCAGTGGCTACATTCTTGGAGTTGCAGCCATCGGAGCCGATATTGCAGAGGAGTTGCTCAATGGCCACTGAGCTCTCAGACTTGATAAAGGAGTCGACCGAAGACTGTCTCTCTTGTACGAGACTCCTCTCATCGAAGGCTGGTCGGCCCAAGACGCTCTGGAGAGCGAATGAGCCGAGAAGAAAGGCAGAAGACACAAAGTACATGATGGGCTGTATCAGAGAGGCTGTAGAGTTGATCGAGACTGATGAGACTGGATCACCAACATCTACCAGGTCCACCGTGAAGGTTTTATAGAGAGCCGGCATCCCGACTATTACAGAAATTTCGTAATAGAAGAACTGGGCTTGTCAAGGGTCTAGTTGTTAGATTCCGAATATGGAAGTGCGGAAGCAAGCTGTAGAGTTGGTGAACAACGGACGCAGGCCTTTGGGGGATAGTGCGGTGTGGTTCAAAGGCCCGAATAATTAGAATGAGGCCGAGTTGATTACAATTAGTCTGCTGCAGTTCCCAGGAGGTGGTGTTGTTTTGCATTTGATATCACCTCGGCTTGTTATGCTTTGTCGAGATCATACTCATCTGAACATGCTTCATCAGCTCACGATGGCTTCAGATGCCTCTTGGGGGACAATGATGATTTGGAGTTTCATTGTCAACTTGACTTCTGAGAATAGCTATGCACCCGGGTATTCACATGCACCAGCTGATTTGAGCTCCTGTGACTTTTACCCCAAAATAATAATGTATGATTTCACTGACAAAAGGTCTCCAACTCATAGTGTGGGGTAGCTTGGCTGGCTACCTTGGACAACCCCCATGGCATGACTGACTACGGAGTAGCTCCCAATAGGTAGGAGGACAATCGTCCCCCCTGTAATCCATCCATAGCATAACATCCATGACCACTCATAGACAGTCTTCACATGCGAGCCGAGCTGTGGGCTCTCGCTTCCTTCCGCCCCCTTCCCCAGACTCTCTCGTGATGCTCAAATTCTCAAACCCCAGACTAGACAGGTCACCCCGGATGGAGGCGTCGGTAGTGGACGGATGATTAGTGAGTACCGAGTAGTAGCCTGGAACAAAGCGCCGAGTGCAACGCAACCTTCATGTCTATATATGCATATATGCAGGCTGCACATACATGTTATCCTCGGTTATCGACTGTTGTGACAGGATGTCTCACTTCGATTCAACTTCATTTACGGAAACTCGCCTACCCTGCGGCTGCGTTATTGGTCCACAAACGTCGCATCAGACCTGACAACAGGACACTCCGCCGTCATTATGCGATCTAGTCGAATCTTGGTACCATGCTCCGAAGACGGGCCGCAGATCGTGAAATGATGCTTGTTGCTTTGTCATGAGGTGGACTTGATCCCCAGATTCAGGATCAAAGCCGAAGCCATCAGGAAGAGGCTCTAGCTGTCAACGGCAAGATACTGGGGGGATCAGCAACGACCAAAGCCAAGCGTTGGATCGCTTTTGTTGCTCGGCAACCTGACGTTAGCCCACCTGATTTAGGGTCCGCTTAAAAAAATAAAAGTTTGAAGGCCTGTCTCAGGTATATCGCGACATACATGTATATATATGGAATTACACGGACATCACGAATTGCGCAAGATTCTTCTAGTCAAATGAAATGTAGGTAGGCCATGGTTTTCCCCAACCTCACCGACCGACGGTCTCGGAAAAGGGGGGTGGAATATAGCGTCTCGTTATGCAACAGCCCCGACACTCAAGCCATCTTTCGACAGCGAATGAAGCGGCTGAAGCAACAGTTACTCTTGGACCTGTCGATAGGATGATTGACACCATAACAAGTTGATGGCTCCTTATAAGTTATCGAGCTGCAAAGCAATCGACCCTGACTCCGAAGAGCAGGGGATCGCTAGGCACAGATCCGTGTTTGCTTGAAGAGAAGAGAAAGAAATTTTTTTTGGTTGCGGCTCGGAGACTTAAATACACAAAATTGTTACTGTCTGCTGACATAATCCGGTCTAACTGCGGAATTACCCAGCCACGACCTGTTCCACCAGCCACGATTCAAAGTGATTCGTGCTTGTCAACCTCAGGCCTATCTTTCTGCCTAGGTACGGAGTAGATACCCAGAAATAGTCGTTTTCATCATCTAACATAGTCGCATCACATATATCGACGTTGCCATCGCGATACGAATGCCAAGATGGACGCCGCAACGATCGAAGAGACGAACAGAATTCGCATCTCCCTGGGAATGAAGCCTCTGCCTGTCCCAGGAGCAGATAACACCAGTCAAAACCAGTCAATGTACGCGGATGGTGATGCACCCAGCACACTGGAGAGCCGCCAAGCTCAGGCCTACGACAACTACAA